GGAGGACGTCCACAGCCTCCTCGGACAGGGTCTGAGGGTCTGAGCGCATCGAGACTCGGGCGCGTATAACAGGGTAGTGTTGAGATTAGTTGGGTTCGGGGGCTTCGGGGCTTCGCGGATTTTTAGGGCTTGGAGATCGAAGCGTCGAGGCTTTGTCCCCAGTACTCTTATGGTTCGGCTCGAGGGTTGAGGGCTCAGCAAAGCAAGGCTTCGGGCTATCAGATTTCGCGATCTTAGAATGCCGGGATGGTCAACGCCAGCGAGTATAGAAGCCTCACTAATTGCCGACATTATTGCTTTGGGTTCCTAGTAGATTTGTGGTGCAATGTACACCACCTGTTCCAATAATTCAGGCCCCTATACTAGATTGTACAGCACGAACCTTCAGGTTTTAGGGCTCCGCGTGCGCTTGAGAGTCCCGACTTACACGAGCAGAAATCCTTATCACATGCCGCTGCGTTACCGTTCTCTGCTACTAAGAGAAGCAGCCACGGTCCTTCATGCTTTGCACATTGACTAGCTTTCCTACTCGTGGTTCGTCTCACTTCCCTTTCAATACCGACCATTACTGCCACTGCACCATCCAGAAGTGCTCACCATGCGAGGGCTCACTGCGTGAGTCTGGTTGAGCGAAGCCTGAAGTTTTACAACGTAGACTTAGTGGCTCGCCTAGTGAGAAGTGCAGTTCAAGGCTCTCCGAGGTATCTCAACTAGAGTGCCCTTCCTATTTGCTTCAGAATCCTCAGTCCGGCTTTCAATGGAGTCTGTACACGGCCATAAATCGCGTCCGCCATGAGCCAAAGCAAAATATTGGAGTTGGCTCCACAACTGAGCTTTCGAGTTTTAGGGTTACAGAGTTTGGAGAACAGACAGGGATTGAAACTGTGCTCCGGCAAACTCGAATCAGTGCAAGCTGAGAACGCAGCGGCATCCATGAATTCGCACACTGACGGTATTCGTGGAGAGCCGTGGCCAGTTGCCTTCACCCCTCGACCCATCTATGGGTGTCCCCTTAGGCCCAGTTAGGTATGGCGCCAAAACGCCAGAATGCCGAAACTAAAGTTATGCCACGAGCTGACATGCCTGAGCCCCACTGCCAGCACCTCACTCCACGGGAACCGTAGTGGCTGGCGTGGGCGTCGCCCTAGCTGTCCCTGAACCTGGCGGATAGAGGAAGACATGATGCTCAAGCTGTCTGATTCCATAAGCGCGAAACGCCAGCCCCGGATATCACTTTTCTAGTCATCGCAGTCGCAGGTAGTAGCCCAAGACCTTCCACGACAAATCTCGGCCCTCGGACACGCATTCCGAGCGGCCCTCCTTTTACCCAGCGTGCTGCACGGACTTTGGGGCCCGTTTTCGGGAATCGGAAGGTTGCCCCACTTTCGGAAGAGCACCCCTGACGGCCGAGTTCCCAAGCTCTACAAGCGGAGCTTCGGAACTCGCTACCCTAGGGTTTAAGTCGCTTATTCCTCCAGTGCACTAAACCTAGATCCTTAACACACAGAGCCAGAGCCCAACAAGGCTTCACAGGGGCGCTCTGTTTAAAGTTTATCGCGCAAGTCGCGAAAGATAGAGAAAGCCAATCCGCCCGGCTGCTTAGAGGAGTTTGTTCCGCCGGCGCGTGGCAGTGCTCTTCGAGTCAATGTAGAAGACGGGTAGAATCAACAGCGCCCACCAGATTCATCCATAGCATCTAGACATAACTGTAACCTCGAGCTGCATGGTCCCTCTGCGGTTTGGAGTATCATCAGCCCAAGTGCAGTTTGCTCGAATGATGTAGACGTCGGTCCTTGCAAGACAGAGGCTTCAAAGGTCCCGAAGAAGCGCAGCTCAATCCGAGACACCTAAATGGGCTTAACGATGCGGATCGGGAGTGAAGGTTATCGGAACAAAAAGCACATGTTGTAGAGTAACTGCAACGCCGCAGCGCCCGGCAGGGGCAATCCGGATGTCCGCCCGGCAAAAGACTGGGTGCACAAGCCTCTTGCTTCCCAGAAGAGGGCTCAGGGTTTGTAGAGTGGGAGTTGCTTCGCAAGCCGGATTGAATGCGGCGTTACAGCACACACTAACCCCAAGGATCAGACTGCTAAGCCTACTCAAGCCTTAAGACCCAGATTCCGAACAGTATAGATCCTGAGGCCCAGAACCTTCCCAAAACCCTCAACCCCTAAACCGAAACCCCGCACCTAAACCCCAGGTAAATCTTTAACCCCCCTAAACCCCCCCCCCACCCCCCAAAAGCCCAGAACACCGGAACCCTGGCCTTTCCTGAGAACGAGGGCACAGCGCATAGCTCTGACGCCGGCCTAGTCCCATCGTGCTTTCGGTCCAAAACTATATACATATTATTGATAAGTGTAAATATACATCTGTATGTATGTACGTACGTATGTATGTATGCATGCATCTACCGATGTGTCTGTGTATCTTTGCACACATGCAGCTATCTACGTGTGTGCGTAATTATGTACGTGTATGAATGCATGTGTGTACCTATGTGTCTATGTATCTCTGCATGTTCATACATACGTACATACATCTATACACCTGCATATATATATAGTCATGCATTACATCTTATATTAAGATATGATTTGATTTTGTAGACTTATGGGACTAAGACTATGATATATCATACCGTATTACAAGGTTTTGTTGTACTATGCCCAAGAGCTTACACCATTGAGGGGGGTTTAGCAACCAGGGTCCAGAACAGAGATGTAGAGTCTAGTTGGGCTGTGACATGAGTCCTAAGCCGTAAGATCGAACTTTCAGCCCTTAAAGCACCAACCCCAAAGACACAAACGGGCTGAATCTGCAGAGCAAAGCTCTGTTTTGGGCTCCGGGCTTGAAGATTTCATAGCGGGGCGGTTTTTGTGGTGGGCAGGTCCTGCTGCCGAGAACATATCCGCCTTTAGAGTAAGAGCATCGAAAGCCCTATGTTTGGGCTTACATAGGACCCTCCGATTAAGTAGGTCATGACAGGTTTAGGTATGTTTCAGAAGACCGGCGTTGGAAACACAATTTGCACAGAACCGGGCAGAGACACCCGGTAAGTTGCAGTGCTATGCAGGGAGCGAGGTCACACGTTCAGTGAGGTGCTGCATATCGCATATCGCTTCTGCATCCCAAACCCCGAACCCGAGACAACACATCATCCGTAGTTCACAGAACGTCCCGTCTCCCTGCAGCTGCCATGGCCCTTGACGCGGGACCCGTCCACGTCTTGGGAAGCTTTCGTTCACAAGCTGAGTTGGGCGAAAGCTACGGGCTAGGGTCCGCAACACCTTATCAGAAGCACCGAACCCTTCGTAGTCGAAACCCTTTTATCGAGCCGATGAAGCCTGCAAAAAGAACACCCAGCTCGGAGAGACCCTGTGCCCGGCAGCTTGTAGCTTAGCTCGAACTCCAGAGGCCTGCCGCTGAAGCAACGGCCTAAAGGCGATGCAAGTTCGGTTCGGGGTTTGATGATGTCTCGGGCTGCAAGGTGCTGCGAACTTGTTACAGCAGGGTCCTTATGGGTGGCTGGAGCTGGGTTTTAGTGTTACGACTGCTTCATGTGTACACCTGCCCTTAGAGGGCCTCCCAGCTTTCAGCTTCGGCTGTGTCGATACTGACGTCTTCGAGGGTTTCCTTGGATGGGTGAAGAAGCAAGGGGGATCGGCAGACCCAAACACCGAACATTTCCAAACTCGCAACCCTGAAGCCCCAGAAGCCTAAACACGACAACTCAATCTAAAAGCACACTGCAGTTCACTTCGGGCAGAGCCGAAGAGTTCACATTTTCGCTCTTTTTGCTCCTTGCACTCCCTACAGCTATAAAGGAAAAATTACATATCCGAGTCTATCTCCATAAGCCCCGAAGCCCGGGACTTTGAGTAGAGCCCTGAAGCTCGTTTCCCCGCTCGCCCATTCCTCGGAAAACGGCGAAGATCCGGAGGAGCTGTACAGCCTGGTCTCAGCCGCGAGCAAAAAGAATTGAAGGTTTAGGGCGGTTTCGGGGGGAAGTGAGTTTTCGATTTGGGGGCAAAGCTGTGGGATGACGGAAAGCCTTACATCGGATTCCCTTAATTGCCCATGTCCCACCTGGCCAACCAAGCCTCACCTTGTCAGGGTTTGGTTTCGGGTTGACAGAGGGGTTTCAGGGATAAGGGGTTGTGCATTGGGGTCGAAGCTCACCTGAAGCACAAAAAGTTTGCTGCAGCCGTTTGGGCCGGCACGCCTCTTGAGACCATCGTCCACAACCCTCGCCGCGAACCTGGCGTGATCCCGGCATGTTAACACACCGCACACAAAGCTTCTTCCTGCCCCGAACCCAACACAAGAGTCGACTTGTGCGGACTTGTGGACTTAGGGCTCAGCGGCTTTGGGGGCTTGCGGGTTTAGTAGGTTCAGGCTAATTATGGATTTCTCTGGTCGTTTGATACCGGGTTAAAAATTATAACGTGAACTCTGAAAGTCGGCCCGGAAGTGTCTCAGTTCTGAGGTCGTTGGCACGGGATAGAGTTAAACATGACCCGGCTCCGGGCCGCCGCATCCGTGCCTGCGGGGGGATGACCGCAAAGTTTCATGTTCTTTTGGCATGGGACCTGTCCTGATTTTACTGTTATATACAGTTTTGCAGTTGGACGTGCGCCCCCACTGTTCCAAAATTTTCCCGACAGCAATAAACCCCCCCAAAGAATGCTGACAATCCGTTTTACCTGTGGAACTCTTGTAAAAGCCTTAGTACCAGTATAGGGTCCTTGTAAAATCCGCTGGCTACCCACCGAGGCTCCAGCTCCCACGCCCTGGAACCCCTGAGCCCTAAGAACGCACGGCCCTACACCGTTGCATCAAAAATACAGCCCTAACCCCACAGCCAACTAGAATCATATCAAAAAATACCGATGAGACGGATGATCACGCAAACAAAAGCGAGGACCACTCATAATCATGTTAAGGTTATTGATGATACTCAAAAGCAAAACAAGAACAGAGGAGATCCGCCGGTCGGCATGGCAGTCGTGGCGGCTCCCTACCCAGATACCACGCAGACGCCCTCCGCCTTCCAGGAAGCAGACATCTGAGCGTTCGGATTTTTTTTTCGGGAGGTTTTGGTCTTCAGGATTTATAGGGTTTAGGGCCAAATCCTAAACTCAGAACCGCTGAGGGTTTGGGCTGTGGGGCTTTGGGCTTCCGGGGCTTCGGGAGCTTCGCGACTTAATGCAAGTGACGAAATATGCGTCGTAAATGATCACAAGAACCCCGATGTAGTCTAAGGAACATTCCTGCATTCCCCAACCACTGTGGGTACACGATAGGGTCCTACCGTTGGATCCCAGAGCCTCCGTTTAAACTTTACACATTAGGCCTTACTTTGCTCCTTAAGAGGTGCAGAACCCTTGACTTGCAACTCCTGAGCCTTAAATCCTAAACGCTAGACCCTCAACCCTAAACGCTGCACCCTAAACCCTAAACCCTACTCCCTAAACCCTGCTTGTAATTTGTTCTTCCTGTGAAAAGAGCCTTAGTTCATGAGCCCAAGAACTCCTCTTCAAGCCCGGAGGAAGAGACGGAGGCTTTGGCGGGCCGCTACATTCCTCTAGAAGCAATTGCTGCAGGGAATTTTGGCCAGGCCGGGGAGTGCGAGCGTTTAAGATTTAGGATTTGGGGTTCAGGATGTAGGGCTTTCGGGTTCAGTGTTCAGAGTTCAGGGTGTTGTTTGATTGGTTTCAAGCAAGGCGTTCGCGGTTTAATGCTTGATTGATCGGGGTTCAATGGTTTCAGGTTCAATTGTGCTGTGACCTCCAACCCAAAGCCAACAACTGAACCTAGACGGAAGGCTTCCTTCCCCAACTCCGATTCAAACCGACTCAAGGGCGAAACCGGAAAGCTTCCAAACGGATGCTTGTCAGACCATTGTGAACATGAAAGCCTGTCAAATCATTGGCAATATTGGAAAGGCTCCAATTGAGGAATGAAGGACTATGCAGGGCGTTTTTTTTTGGATTTCGATAATTGGATTTGAAAGGGATCGAGCATGTCAGACCGATTTCAAGGCAAGCCTAGCCGCATGGCAGCTTAAAAAGGGTGGCAACAGAAACAACTGCAAGGCGTGTACAGGGTCTTCTTGTGCCAAAAAACAGAAGAAGAACATGCTTTGGACAACCACTCAAGCGTTCAATGTTCGTAATTCTTCTTCTGCTTCTTATCATTCATGCTGTTTGGCTGTTTGTTTGCATGTTCGTTGTTATTTCTCTGCTGTTGTGCTTATGCCTAGCAGGGCCTAGCGGTTGTGCTGTTTGTATTCTGTTTTTTCAGAGCCATAACAGGTGGAGCGGATGCGTGATCTCGCGACTCGGCGCAGCGTCATGCGGTTGCTGCCGGTTGCTTCATATGGGCAGCTGTCGAAAGATTACACATTTGAGGGTTCGATTACAATCAGTTGTGATGGACCCTTAACAGGTGGCAGCCGTTGGAGGTACTCAAGGCTAGACCCTTGATTGAGACTCTCCCCGTGGTCAGTGATGAAAAAGGCGATCCTGTTGAGGCGGGGTTCATGCGCCAGCGGTCTATAGTAGTGTCAACATTCTTATGCACGTCAGTTGAAGTCGCTGCAGTACGGGGAACAACCACACCGATCGCAACGGAAACGTTTTTTCGTTTTGCTATTTCTGCTTTTTGGCTGCTGTGCTCTGCAGCTGAAGTCCCGGCAAACCAGCAAGTGAGTGAACGGCCCGACAACACCCCCCCCCCCACACCACACCCAAAATAAGGTACGTATCACCTAAAAAGACCCTAGGTCACGGGTGAGAACGTTGCCGTGAAGTCCACGACCCTGACGAGCGAGGACAGGAGGGATACGACATGTTCAGGCTAAGTGCTATAGGCGACTACATAATTACCTATATGACTGTGGGGTTCCTTAGTATAACGATAGTATAGCGGGCCCCAAAACCCTATTCCAGTTACAAGGCCCCTACAGTAAGGCTTGCGGAATTTCACTTGGTCTTCGAATCTACATCTAGACCCTGCAACATAAAGAACCACAAGCCGTTCGCTTCGCCACCCCACTTCTTAAGGTATGGGATGATGTGGGTTATTACTGAAAGGGTCATGGGACTTAGTAACTAGGGTTATAATTAGGGTAACTATACTTATCACCCCAATTAAGGTACTTCTAACCCTACTTACTAAGTCCCATGATCCTCCAAGTAGGGTATCAGGGAACCGCGGCAGACAGAGCACTGGAGTCGTGACAAATCCAGCTGCGACTAATCCATGGCCAATTGCAGCTACGGGCATGCGTCCTTGAGGTGGCGACCCATAGTGTACAGCACCTGCAAGAACAAAAGGTACACGCCTTGGCTGCGAGACGTGCGCTTTAGATTCGCCACGTACAGAGTTTAAGGTTCACACTAGGGCATAGTGAGCAGGGTCTTCGGGTCTGCTGTTGAAGCTTGAGGGAGAGCCTTAAGCCAAATCCTCCTTGTTGCACAAGCCCCAAATCGGGTATCGCTGGTTTTAAGAGCCCTCCCCGCCAAAGACAAGTACTGAAGCCGTTGACCTTTCAGCCCTCCCTGAACGAGACCTGAAGCCCTGCAAGCAAGATCGGTCATGACGTCGCAGGAAGGAGTGACCAGCTTCGCGATCCGAGAGATTGCGGCCTTGTCGCCACTGCGGCAGCACAGAAAATTCAGAGGCTCCGGGGTCAGGACTTTTGCTTGTTTCTGGTCTCGGAAGGTTCAATTTGCAACTTCTGGTCGTCTAGATCTGGGTACCCTAAACCCTAAACCGTGCTAAACCCCAATCCCTAAACCGCAAGGAGCTGCATTCGGCGGCTCCGAGCTGTGAGCTTTTCAAGGCCCCCGGATCCCTACGGCCACGCAGATCATTGTCAACCCCTGGGTAGGGTTAAGAGCTCTGGTTCATGGTAAACAAGCTTCGACACCAGCTGGTCACAGAGCCCTCGCCTGAATGTGGAGCTCCGATTCTTCTGGGCTTTGAAACTAAAGAGGCGAATATATGGGTAGCGGAAGTCTGAGTAGCGATAGTCTAAGCTAAGCCTCATACCCGAAGAGTACAATGGTTTACAAAATCACTCACTTGATCGACCGTTGCAAGCCGTCAGGTCATGCAAGCACACCAACGTCGTCAAGCTATTGGGTGTCCATGCTGTGCCGCAGAGCGTGCCTGTGCTGCCCTGGATGCACAACCCGAAACACCAAAATCGTTCAACCCTGTGCCCTGAAATGCTGCACTCTGTGAACCCTGAAGCTTTACATTTACATCGTGAGCCGTGAACGCCTAGAACTCCAGAATGGCCCTCAGACACGAAGTCAAGTACCACCCAAAGCTACCGTTGCTACTAGACCATTTTAACCCTAGCTTGTGTATCGCACACCCTAAACTCTAAACCCGCTGCCTCACTTCCAACTTTCTCGGATCCCACGTAAGTTCGCCAGAATCTTCGAGCTCAGCTCGACCCAAGTGCAAGTCACCAGTACTGTAGACCCCTAATGAATAAGTAGCAATCCAAGTGTTAGGGCATGAATAGAAAAGGTGCTCCAATCATCAGGGATCTACGTTAAGCCGAGCCTGACCTGCACGAAGGTCCGAATTCCGCAGTCTACAAGTAAACCTGCCGCGTCAGGTGCATCTCATCATGGAGCTGATGGACATGAACCTACGGGAGTACATGAGGATGCGTGGGAATTATGGGTGTTTGGGTCCCCTCCCCTATCTCCTCTGCGCCGTCATGTCTCCGACCTGCTCTCAAAACAGCTCGGTTTAAGGTTTATGGACCCTAAAACCCTAAACCCTAAACCCTAAACCTTAAAGCCTAAACCCTAATCCCTAAGCCTAGCTCCCGTGCTCAGCCCGCAGGAAGGTCCTCGAGGGATCCTTCAAAGAGACGCTGCGCCCTGCGCCCGGGCCTCGGGGTGTTCCTTTCAAAGGAGTTTAAGGTTATTTTGGGGCTCCTGTGAGGGAGTTCTAAGGGCTGCTATACCGGTTCCTATAGACGGGGCGAATGTGTTTGGGGGGGTTAGGGGCTGCATGATTAAGGTTTGGGGGTGTAGGCCTCTGCTGCACATCAACCCTGACTGCAAAAGAGAGCGTCGCCTCAGTCTAGGTAGTGCAGAAACTTTTTCACCCACCCGAAATCCTGAAGTTGGCCCTGAAGCCAGCTCCCTTCGCCCATGACCCTATAGCGGCATGCCAAGCCGCAAGCCTCGTCGGCCCCCCAAGCTGCGGGAGGCTGTTCAGTGGAAGCCTTGTACGCTCGTCCCGACTTTTGGAGCACGTCAACGCAAAAGCCCCAAGCTCCCCATTTTCTGGACCGGTATATAGCCCGACACCAAATCCCATCATCTACCTAAGTGCTTCTCGAATGCTTTCACTGCCAACGCCACTCCAAACTACACCCTTAAAAGCTGTAATGTAAAGCCTTACAACAACTTCTCACAGCCTGTAGAATCCTGATTCTGTTTTTTTTTTTGTTGCCAGGTTTCGGCAAATTCTGGAAGGGGTCGACTGCTGTCACCGTCCAAATCTCAGTTCCAAGCCGGTGCAGGATTTGGGGCTTACTTAAAGGATCATGGGACTTAGTAACTAGGGTTATAATTAGGGTAACTATACTTATAACCCCAATTAAGGTACTTATAACCTTACTTACTAAGTCCCATGATTTAGGGCTTAGGTTTTTTCCATACTCAAAGGCACTCTGTCAGGAGTGTTTAGGGGTAACCCTGTCACGGTGTTCCGTTTGGGGTTTCGGTTGCAGTCTCGGAGGCTTCTGAGCTTCCAGGGTGGCTTAGATATTCAATCCTTATGCGCTATACTTCTACGTCCTGAAGACCCGAGCCGCCGAAGCTCACGTAGACCCAACAAGCCGAAACTTGGTGCCCGGAAAGGACATACAGCTTTTGGGTTTATGATCGGGTAGACCTGCTCCACTTGATGGTGGTTGGGGCTCCCCTTGTATCCACCACCATCACAGAATGTCAGCCTCGGCGGACTAATGCTGCCCTGTATTGCCCCCCTAAACCCTAAACCCTAAGCCCCAAGCGCTAAGCCCTAAACGCTAAACCCTAAAAAGAAGCCCAGAGAGAGAGAGAGAGAGAGAGAGAGAGAGAGAGAGAGAGAGAGAGAGAGAGAGAGAGAGAGAGAGCAGCCTCGGACCATCTCGGACCGATGAGGCAGCGGCTTCATCCACCGCGACTTGAAACCGCAGAATATCCTCGTGGACGTGAAGACAGGTGCCTCGGTTCATGACTTAGGGCTCAAGAGCGTGGCGTTCAAGCTTTCGGGTGCTCTTAGACCCTACGCCCTACGCCCTATACCTGAAGCCAGAACCCTTCGGCCCCACGCCCTAAACCCTTAAACCCCAAACCACAGCCTGAAGACGCTGTCAGCCTGCGAACGCAACGCAGACCCCCAAGCCCCCAAGACCCACACAGCCCATGACCCTTCTGGGTTTGGGTGCTCCGGGTCTCGGTTCCCCCCCCCCCCAAAGCCATACCTGCAAAGCACCTGTTTCAAGGCACCCTCAAAGTTTCCGATTTCGGCCTCGCCCGTCGTTGTTTGCCAATGGACATTCGTGCCCGGGCACTGAAGGCTTTTGGTGGCTCTCAGGAGTTCGGGGGGTCTGCAGAAGCTTTGGGGTTCTGCGGCAGCTTAGGCAAAATGGGATCTGGACCCAAAACCTCGTGCACTCTGGGGAGGAAGGGCCTCTTCTGCTTCGGGGTGTTTGCCTTGATGAGGGTCTCTCTCTCTCTCTCTCTGTGTCTCTCTCTCTCTCTCTCTCTCTCTGCATTCTTTATAGTTGTATATGTATATATATATATATATGTACACATGTATGCATGTATCTCTACATATAAATATGGAGTTTTGAGAGCCTTCCGCCCAGAACCCAATCCAAGCGATCCCCTTGTGTCTCAAGCGCTCACCGCTGTTTTGCATGCAATTCTACACTCTGCACCTCGCCGCTCTCGGGACCTGCTGTTTGATCTGCATGGCGCAGGAACCAATCCTACAAGGCAGAGAGTCTGCCCGATGGCCATTATGGGGTCAACCTAAAGGGTTGAGGCTTTGGGCTGGGATTGTATCATGTCACGCAGTCATTTGATTGGGACGGGCATCCGTTACTTTCCGACATTGCAGACCCCCAAACTCAAGCCCCAAACCAAAAGCCGACCGAACAACTCCCACCCAGGGCTTCAGAGTCTGGACAGGTCTATCGGTCTATCCTCTAGAACTCTAGAAGATTCCCAAAGCCTTGCTCGCCTCGCCCTGAAACCCGGTGCTCAGGAAATGGCCCTTTCACCAAGCTCGTGATTACGTTGCGCGGCAGCAGCAGCCAGTGGTGATGCCAATGGCGGTGCTACTGCAAACATGGAGATAACCACGAGAATCGCCATCATCGTAATTTTCTGAGTGAGAATCGCCATCATCGTAACCTTCTTCGTCTTAGTGGTAGCAGTGTTCTTCGTCGATGATGACGCCCACAAGCAGCATCGGGTTCAGGGTCTCCGACCTTCAACTCCAGAACTCCGAAGGATCACCTGAGAAAGGTTTAGGGTTGAGGCTTGTGTCTCTATGGAAGCCCTCTTTGTGCACCAAGCCTCATTGCTTCAAGAAGTCAACAGTGCCTCAATAAAGCCATGGTATTTCGCGCTTGCACAGTTTCATGGATGAGATAGCGGCCATATTGTCAGTACTCTTCATATCTCTAAGCCTATTGAGCTCTACCGCTTGAAAGCCTTGAGGCTTTGGTACCGTCCGCCTGAGCTCATTCTCTTCGACCGCCAGCAGTGCCGGCCCACCGGCGGCATGCGAACCCAGGGCTCCTTCTCTAGGTGCCCAAAGTGGGTGTCTTAGAGAAGGGGTTCTGCTGAGGCTAAGTTAGGGGTTCTATCAGCGGTTCTAGAAGCGCTCTATCTAGGGAGTCCAACAGGTTTCTACAAGCTTTGGGACTTGAGGGTTCTGGTTTGTTTGTTTGGATTGAGGGTTTAGGGTGTGGGACTCATTTACTGATTGGGTTTGGGGCCCAGGAGTTATGGACTTAGTGGTTTGACGATAAGGGTTGAGGTTGGGGTGCCGGGTTGAGGACACAGGCTGTCTTCGAGATTCCGGTTTGCTGGTCTTGTCTTGGGTCGGGTGTAGGGTTCAGGGTTCAGGGTATGCCGTTGTGGTGCTTTGCTTCGGACTTGTGACTTTGCTTCTGTTGGTGTGGAAGCCTTGGCGTACAATACAAGAAGTTCTCTCTTTGTGATGCTATAATTGTTTCAGTGCATTTTTTCAGCACAGCACGGGGAAGCCGTACGTTGCAACCCCATGAAGTTTCGAATTGCATTGCCACGATTGCAAGCCTGGAACTTGCCTCCTGGACCCAAGGTACGGATACACCGTGGACATGTGGTGCCCCGGCTGCGCTCAGGAGTTTTTATTATATTTCATTTACGGCCGTTTTGGGCTCACAGCCTTGACCCCTACTGCAGAAAGCCCTGCCGGCCACACCCACGGACCACACGGCTAAACTCGGATGCCCCGAAGCTTGCAACCTCAAGTGCGTGAACCCGAAGAAACCTCGAACTCTCATTTAGGGTCTAGGGTTGTAGGGTGTAGTGTCTAGGGTTTACCAGTTGCTTTAAATCGGCATGCGCCGTACTCTTGGCCCTGTGCATCCCTGACCCCTTCAAACTTCATCACCTGCACCCTACTTCATCACCCCCCAAGCAGCTCAAGGTCGTTCCGCTGCTTTCTAGTTGAGGCTTTATGGGTGGTTATCAGTAGAGCTATGAAAAGTTGGGGCTATGAGTAGTTCTAGACATTGTTGCCTTTCGCATCCAGCCACGGCCCAGAGTGGCACATCAGAACAATCCCGGCCCGACCCCCAAACTCCTCAAAAGAGCACGAATCCCCCGAGAAGCTCGCAGCCTCAGACCCTAAGCCGCAAACCTCGGAAAGGTCAGGTGTTTGGCCTAAAAATTTGGACTACCCTGCCTATAGACCCTACGTCCGAAACCAAATTCTGCCAAGAGCCAGGGTCTTGCTGCAGCTCTCAGAAAACACCCAAGCCTTTGCGGAACCATGTTTTATGCAACCTCTCTAAAACCAGTGTGCAATCCTATAAAGCCCTTCTACAACCCGAAGAAGCCTCGGTCTTTCGGTCCATTCCATCATCATCTGCGAGAGCTCTCCTGTAGGAGCCCGAAAAAGCACCCTCAAGCTCCCCAAGAGCCCAGGTCTCTCAGCCCAAAGTCCTAAACCCTAACCTCTACCTTGACTTACCTTTCGTTAGCAGGGAATGGAGGAATGGGGTACAATGATAACTACTATTACTACCATATTACTACCATTTACTACCATATTACTATCATATTACTATCATTTTACTGCCATATTACTACCATATAACTACTAATCACTACCATTCTTCCCTTCCCTACTAACCAAAGGTAAGCTTGAAGCTCAGGTCTTTGGGCTGCATCCTTGCAGAGATGGCCACGGCGATGCCTTTGTTCCCTGGAGACTCGGAGATCGACACGTCCCGTGGCCTACGAAGAGATGCGTAAGGAGTGCCCAAGGGGTTTTTATAAAGGTTTCAAGACAGATTGGATGGGTTTCATAAAATTTGATACCTGTCGGTTTTTGGTAGGGTGTTAGAGGGGTTTCTTGGGTAGAATTCAAGAGCTTTAGAGCGTGGAAGGGGTTCCAACTGGGCTTGGCATGAGACAGAGCGGATTCGATGACAGGATTGTGGTTTTTGCTGGCTTATATACAGTCTCTGCGGGAGCTGCTGAAAGGATGTAGGGTTTACGCACTAGGGTTTGTCTTTCTTTTCGGGATGGTGAAAGAAGCTTCTTTTCGACTTTTGGGCGATGCAGGGTTCAAAGTTTAGGGGTACACTGTTGGGGTTAGGCATACCAGAAAGGGATTAAGGGAGAACTGGGTTGCGACTCAAGCCTACAGCCCAACTCCAAACACCATGCCGCAATGTCGTGTGGGGCTTCTTGGATAGTGGGGGCTTAGGGCTTAGGGCTTAGGGTTTAGGGGTTTAGGGTTTAGGGCTTAGGGTTTAGGGCTTAGGGTTTAGGGGTGACGTTTTTGGCTTGTTGGTGGGTTTGCAGCCAGCAAGAGCCGCATCCTTGCCAAAGCAGCTATGATTTAGGGAGCCCCGCGCCCGTTCAATTCCGCAACACCAGCACTTGAGTCCCGTAACACCGCAAGGGCCCTAAACTGAAACCCAAACACAGATAGATACCCAAGCCCAAGCCACCAAGACACTTCAGTGCATCTATAAACCCTAAACCCTTGAGTGCATGAGGCTGTATAAAATCTTCAAGCTCAAGGGCACTCCAACCCCCGAGACGTGGCCGGGTGTCGCAGCTCGGCCTGGTTCTAACGCCCAAGCCGCTGCTACGCTCTACAAAGTTTAGAGTTTAAAAGAAGCCAGCCCCGATTTAGGGGCCTGAAGTAGAATAAGAGGGCTTTGGGGTAAACCATAGTGTAGTTATATAGGTACTGTCAGGACTCTAAGTCTTGAGTACTCCTAATTATGCAGGCCCATACCCAAAGTCAGTGTGCAAAATCGTCAGGCTCCTGGTACGCAGATGAAAGTCGGCAACGTCCAGGGAACAGACTACGGTTTAGGGTTCAAGGTTCAGGGTTTGGGGTTTAGGGTAGGGCTTAAAACTTGGACCTGGAGCCCAAGGCCCTTTGCCCTAAAGTCTCCACCCTAACTCCATTCCTTTGCTTCACCTAAACCCTCAAAGCCCCAAGCCCTGAGCCCTCAGACAAGCTTTTGCACCTCAGACAAGCTTTTGCAGAATCCTCATAGAACTCAGCCTGGTATAATTATTGCTGTACATTGCGTAGGCTAAGGGCTGTCACTACCTCCTGACCCAGATCAATCTGTCCTACCCCTGCACTCCGAATGCCAACCTCCCAAGGAAAGGCTTGCGCACTTCAAGCACAGCTTCCCCAGATGGAAGGCACCTGGAGTTCGTGGCGTTTTATATTGTGGCTCTGTACACGGCTTAGGGTTCAAGGCTGAAAGTTTAGGATTCGGGGTTGGCGGTTTCCGGCTCGCCCGACTCCACAGCCCCCGGACTGCCTGGGCCTAAAACTCGCAGTGCTATTTGTTTTGGGCTGAGTGCTGCACCGGTCTCGAGTTTGTGTGGAGACGCTTATGGAATTTTCGATCCGCTGATTCCCTCCAGAAACCCTACAGCAAGCTTTGCAGAAGCACCTACTGAATCCTTAGGATCCTTCAACGACCGTTGTAAAACTCCTACCAGCCCTCAGAACCCTTCCAGAACCGTTCTAGAGCTCTGTAGAACCCGTCTGTATCCCTTAACCGAGCCCTTTTGCAGCCCTTCCGAACTCTCCAGACATCTCGAACCGGTCTAGATCCGTTAATTACCGAGCCCTTCAGCGCTTCCGAACTCTGCAGACATCTCCGTGTAGATCCCTTAAACGAGCCCTTCCGCACTCTCCAGACACCTCCCCGATGCAGGACACGGAATTCCAGCCCGTGCTTTCCCGTGTCCACGCCAGAGCCGATGGCCTGCGGGGGATGCTTGATGACATGCTCAGGCGACTTACGATTCCTGCAGGAATCCATTGAACTACAGAAATTTAAATAAAGGAATATCAAACAACGGAAGACAATTTTAAGTATAAGAATTCTAAATAACGAAGGTTAATCTTAAGGAATTTTAAGGGTAAAGGGCTACTGCAAGGGATCCTTAGGGCTTGAGTGCCCAGGGTCTAGCCTTTGAGGTATAGAAGGGTTCCAGGTCTTTCCAGGTCCATGTTGGCTGAAAGTGTTTTGTGGTTTCGGGGTGTCAGTGCTTCAAGATTTACAGGTTTAGGCCCAGGATATCAGGGTTTCATGGTTCAGGAAGTAGGTTTAGGTGCGGTTATTCAAGCCGCCACAATGACGACCGTCGGCCAACTTCGTATCGGAAGCGCAGTCGCAGCAGATTACCCAAGAACACCGCTCGCACTCATCGTTTTCAGCAGCTGTCGGGAAGGATTCATGGTGGTTTACATATGCAGCTAGTTAACAGCTCCTTGACAATACTGCAATGGTTTCGCAGACCAGAATCCAAAAGAACAATATGACTTCATGTGGTGACACACCCGCAAATCACCGGAGCACTTCGAATGGGAAGAGAAAGACGTACAGACGGCACCAAAGCTGCAGCCACAGTTTCGTGGCAACGGTTGGCAGGGTTGTGAGGTTGTGTTCTACACGCTGGCATATCGAGCGAGATGCTGATACCAACCGCATGCTGCTTCTTACTGCTGCAGCTACGTTCCGGACAACTCGCTTCCACTCTCGTCATCCTGGTGCAAGTGTGTTGCGAGTGTGTTAGCAGCCCGTCAACGGTCATGCATACAATATAGGGGCCTTAATAATTCCCTATACTATTTTGGGGGTTCCTTGTAAATATGGTATAATGGGCCCCAAAACTAGTTTTCCTCAGCCACCAGCGCCAGCCGGAGAGCCGCTTGAATCCACATGAAGCGTTCCTTTTCGATACGATCATCTGTGGTTTTAGGGTTTAGGGTTTGGGGTTTGGGGTTTAGGGTTTAGGGTTTAGGGTTATTCATTTAGGAAGGGGATACGGGGTTCTAGACCCTAAAGCTCAAGAGGATCCCTTTGCAGGTACATGCCTGAGCAGCGCTCGTCTGCCTACACGCTGCTGAGTCACGAGCTGCTTAGCCCTTGTCCTGGCTTCGGACACTTCAGGTCTTATTATAGGGGCCTAAGTCATTACCCATGCTATTTTGGGGGGTTCCTTATTATAAATATAGGATAATGGGCTCCAAAACCCTATTCTACTTGTAATTATTAAGGCCCCTACACTGGGGGATTCGGACCACGGTTGAGGAAGTTCGAGGATGCTTCAGGCATTCAGGGCTCGGGCTGCTACGAATCGGTTGCAAGATGGAACTTGGTGCTGGTTGTCATTGATGTGCTTTTCGTGGTGGTGGTGGTGGTGGTGGTGGTGGTGGTGGTGCACCTCTTGATTCTGCAGTGTCCACACAATCCAGGACCATTTCTCATTGTTGGCGTGCGCAGCAGATATTCTGTTGTCTAGTTACCACGGTTTTAACAAGAAGAGCTCTGAGCCCCGAAGCTCGCATGCCGACTGAGGTTCTTTGCCGACGACTCTTAGTTGGCAGGTGCATCGGGGCTGCTTCGGAATCGCGGCATTAATATAGCATAATCTAATACAATATAATGAAAAACGGTGTGTATATATATATATATATATAATAAAGATACTGTAATATGACATACCATAATACACTCTAGTGAAAAACAAAATAGTATACCATAGTATAAGATGAGTTGTCTGCCTTGGTGATTCGGGGTCGAGACCCTTCGCCCCCAAACCAGAACCGAGAGTCTCTGAACTGAAGCCATACACTGCTATTCACTGTTCAGGGTTTAGCGTTTGGGGTTAGCGAAGAGCACAACCTTCGATTTTTGTTTAGGGTTTAGGGTTCAGGGTTTAGAATTTTATGGGGCCAGGGCTTGAAATGGTTTTGCAAGTTGCGCATTGCCGATGCCCACCCCAGTCGCTGGCCGTCGTAGCGCCCGTGGGCAACATCATAGCTAGAGCAACAGCAGCATCAGTAGCAGCATGCAGGACTTATCATGAGAAGACTGAGGGCATTGGTCTGGCTAGTGTGGATAAGTCTTTCTCACAGCATGTGCAAAACACTCGTTCACTCTGAACCCTGAAACCAGGTACCCGAAACCCCCAAACCCCAAGGACGATGCCTCGCCTCCAATCCCTGAATCCCCGAAACTGTCGCCGCTTAGCAGCTTAAGATCCTTCTTGCCCTTCGTCTGTTGTTCCGGAGGGAAGAGGACCGGGCAAAAACACCGCTTGAGAGGAGCCGCTAGCATCCGTCGATGGTTCAAGAACATAGCATCATTCCAGACCCCATACGTCATGCGGAGGCCCGTGCTGAAGCAGTGGACCCGCCCGAGCGCCGTGCAGTGCTGAGCATGAGGGCTTCAGACGTTTGGCTTGTGGGGTTTATGGTCGAGCGGCATGGTGCAAAATCGTGCAGTAATTCTGGACGTTTGCGATAGGGGCTTGTTAAGGGCCTCAGCTCCAGAACCCTAGGTATCAGAGATTTCTTTCTGGCAGGGTTCTGCAAGGATGCTCATGATCCTTCGCTCTCGGAGGCTTCCAAGGATCTGTTGCAGAGGTGATCTACATGGTAGCACTTGCCTCGCTAGTTTGTGCTGCAAGAGTGCTAGTTTCAGTTTCGAGGCTGGTGATTCCACGCCAGGTTCGAACTCCTCAAGCTGAAGCTGCAAAAAAGCCTCGCCTCCCACTGCAAAACCTTCATAGGACACCTCGAACTCTATCGGACCCATATTATGTAGATCCCTTCTAGATGCTTTTACCCGACTCTTGTAAAATCCTTATAGATCCCTTTCGAAAGCCCTCGAAGTTGCTGTCCGGTCTCAGATCCTGGATGCGTACCCAGACGATCAGGCCGAGGCGGAACAGTCGCCGGGCTTTGTTCAGGGCTCCCCGAA